ATCACATGGCTTAAGAAGGGAATGCTGTCCAAGTCTCATAAAAATTCCCAATGCTTGATCCCTGAATAGTCCAGAAAGATGAGACTTACAAGTTCCCTTTCATAAGCTCTGTCCAGCAGCAAACTGGGCACCTCCTGAGAACGAGTGCCCCAGCTCTGCCAACAGCACCCAAACGTGCCCCCTGCCAGTTCAGTTTCATCAGTTCATCTTCCTTCCATCAACAGCATCGAGATGATACTTCACAGCCCAAGGGAATACAGGATTAGGGTCATCATTTCACTGGGTCAAATTTTCAACACATTAACAGCATGTGGACTCCCACCATCGTGCATGGCTTTGGTAGTCTGACCTGATTTCTTGCAGGCCTGAAACCTGAAGGTCAGTGCCACTTGCCTTGTGTGTGCCGACTCCCAGATGAGTTCATTGCCTCCTTGGGAGCAACCAAGACCTCTCCTAGGTCTTAGCCCCCCATGCACACTCCTTTCTAACTCTAGTGTGTGATTCAGCCTCATCTAGAGCATATTATGGAACCAGGTAGTTACGTGTTTAAGAAAAAATACTCTTCAACACGATCCATCCAAAGTAGTTCATTCAAAATACAAGACCGTTCTCCCAAGTTGTCACTAATACTATATTTTGCATTTGTTTATCATGCCTGTAAGGCCATTCCTAACTAGTAAATTTTAGCCTAGATATGTCTGCTTCCCTTACAACTGTGAAACACAGTTCCATTAACATCAGTGAGATAAAACTAGTGTGCTATTTCTAGTCCACTTCATTCCACTTTAACTTCCTGATCATTACCTTTTTAAATAACATTTTCATGGGTCATTAGTTTTGTGGAAGATTCTCCACCACCCATCCCTTCTTATTTTTTCCCATTATCAGAGCCTTGCTTGTTAAAAAAAAAAAATAGAAAGTAAATAACAAGGCTGACTTGTAGTCACAGTTTCATAAACATATAGCTTATGGCCTCACATTTGCTTTATGAATATAATTGGTGAGTTTAATGAGTCCTAAAAATGGAAAGATAGTGTAACCTACCCAAGATGGAGCTAAACCAATATTTAGAAAGCCTCTTCCTGCAGGTGTGATGGGCAATTGCATTCTGTTTTGTGCACTTGGAGGTATTACAGCTGGCCTAGGTGCACCAGAGATGGGTTCCTGGGAGGGACACCTGTGGCAGTTCAGAAGGTACCATTGTTTCAAAGCAAGCTGTGACCCAGAGCAGACATAGGCAGCGGGAATTCATTGCACTCTAGTGTCCTGCTCACCAGTGTTCACGGGATTCCCCCTAGACCTCAGCACTTTCCTCTTCTCCTGAAGCTGCTCTGGATTTCTCGTGGACAATTAAATATGTAATTTTGTGAGAACCCTTCCATCATTGACTTACATTGTGACTAAATAGTTAACTTTCATTGTTTAATGCCTCTTCTACAAAGCTGACTTGTAGGTTTCATGAGCATATGGCTGGGTCTTGTTCTTGTCCATTCCTCACAGCTCTAGGATTGGAATCCCAGCTTTATGACCTTAGATGAATTCCCTCACCTCTTTCTTAGTTTCTTTGGCTACAAAACAAGGCAGCCTAGCCAGTGTGGCTCACTTGGTTGATGTTATCCCATGCATCAGTAGGCTGCTTGTGTTTGATTCCTGGTCAGGGCACATGCCCGGGTTGCAGGATCGATCCCCAGTAGGGAGCATGCACGAGGCATCAGATCGATGTTTCTCTCTCATGGACGTTTCTATATCTCTCCCTCTCCCTTCCTTTCTCTGAAATCAATAAAAACATATTTTTAAAAGGTTATCATGCCTGCCTTGTAGGGCATTACAGGAACCAGCTAGCAAAGTGCTGGGCCCCAGGAGGTGCTTGGTGAATGAGTACTTTGACTCACTAGACCAGTGATGGCGAACCTTTTGAGCTCGGCGTGTCAGCATTTTGAAAAACCCTAACTTAACTCTGGTGCCGTGTCACATATAGAAATTTTTTGATATTTGCAACCATAGTAAAACAAAGACTTACATTTTTGATAATTATTTTATACATTTAAATGCCATTTAACAAAGAAAAATCAACCAAAAAAATGAGTTCACGTGTCACCTCTGACACGCGTGTCATAGGTTCGCCATCACTGCACTAGACAGAGCCTGCACACGGAAGCCGAGCAATTGAATATGACAAAGCAGGATTAAACCCTTGTGCGAGGAGAGCTAGTTATGGACTAACTCTTAAAATTTCATGGTGAGGGCACCATTTCCCCTGACCTTGGGCTTGGAGGACAGTTTATAGCCCTGTTTTTATTCATGACTCTTTCATGACCGTCTGGCAATCACTTCAAGCTCATCATTCTCCTAAGTCCAAAAGCACTGGTGATTTGATTTGGGATGTGGAGACTGTGCTCATTAGCATCCCTGTCCAACTCATACATTGAAGCATCAGCTCTTCCCTGAGTGGGGAAGCTTTCTCCAGCTCCTTGCAGCCATGAGACAAGTGGTGACGCCCAGGACTGATCCAGTGATCCCTGTGGGTGTCTCTGACTTATTTAAGAATTATCTTTAAAAGCAACCACAGTGGTGGGTGGTGGGGCCTACTGAGACTAAGAGCATCAAAATAAAAGAGAAATGGTGGTAAGAATGAGAGTATGAGGAGGTCTGTACAGAAAACATAAATAGCATTGAGATGAGTTTTCCCCATTTCCCGTATAGCGAGCACATCTGCCAAAACTAAACACGTGCATTATCCACTCCGCCTCTGGCAGATCGCCGAGGTACAGAGCAGAGATGCTTACTTACGGAGGGTCACCCCTGCCTTGATTCTGCCATTCCTGTCTTTGTGGTGGAGCTATGTTACAATGAGGAACTGCCGGTGTGACATTCTCGTTGCCGTCTTTGGTTACTTATAAATACGCACTTCTTTGTCTTGCATCCCTTTTAAAGGTTCCTAAGAGAAATAGCAATAGGACAGTATTACATTTGTTGAATCTATTACGTTGTCAGCTTAGTAGACCACAAAACTGTAGGTTAGATGAGCTCCTTTTCAATACTAGTTCTAGTTGACTGGACAAATAAGGACTCTTGCTTGCATGCATTGGTTAGGGTTGGTACGTTGGTTTACTCAATGCCTTGCCCCAAACATAATTTGAGACAGCACTTACCAAGCAGTGTTATCAGCTTCTGTAGTTGTATGTTATAAGCACACTTAGACTTATGACATACTCAGTAATATACAAGTTTTCTCAGGCGTTTATTGTGTTCGAAAGACCCTAGTTAGATGCAGAGTTACAGTGAGAAATGAAACAATCCATGATCTGAAGAACCTTGCTATCTACGGTAGAAACAGACCCAATTAAGTATAACAGAACTGAGATGGCAATGATTGCCCTTGTAGAGCTCTAATGTGGGGCTAAGTCACGGTTTTTGTTGTATTTCTTTTTTAACCAAATATCTCAGGACTCATTAATGACAGAGAATTTTTAATCTTGGAATTTTATTTAAAGTCCTTCAAACTTCTTAACAATTAAAATCCCACTCAGTTATGTATCTAAGAAATTTCCCTTATGGGAAAGAATGCAGCGATATAAAACCAGTGCTGCGCTGGGGGTCCACATTGCCTCAGTCTGGCTGTGGGGCTGAGAGGGTGTCAGTCCTTCTGTCTGGGAGGTTTGGAGAGGGCTCTCAGGGGAGCTGATGTCGGAGTCGAATTGTGAACAGCAGATAGAAGTCCTCATAAGAGTTTTGGCTCTGTGTGCTGTGGTGAATTTAATACATGTGGAAGTCGGTCACAAAGTTTGCCAGTTCCTCTTGCTCTACGCCTATTCCCCTAGCAGATATTTTTAAATCACTGGTACAATGGCTTCTTTTACCTGATCTGTACATCACAAGTTGTAGACCGCCGCCTCTCCCACTGGGGTCAGCAGTGCTTGCAAGAACCTCGAGGATGCGGGAAAGAATGCAGCGATATAAAACCAGTGCATTATCCACCCCTCCCAATGGGGTCAGCAGTGCTTGCAAGAACCTCGAGGATGCCTGGTTTTGCATAGAGGGTAAGGAAGCCTGCCCCAGATACCAGCAAGTTTAATCCACTTCCATCGGGGAGAAAAACAATTGGCCTTAGGCAATGTATTTCTAATTATCTAAGTTATTTTCTGTGTGTGTGCATAAATAGCACATTTTCAATCTGTGTAAAATATAATGGATGAGCAGCACATGACAGTTTACCAGGAGAGAAGACAGCTGCGTGGCAAAGCTGCTGCTGATAATGAGGGAAGGACTAGCCCAGGTCCTGTGCCACTCAGCAGCTTCCACCTTTCAGATGACAGCCCGTTTGTTTAGCCCTGCAACCCCCATTCTTCACGGGCTGGGGGTTAATTTCTTGCTGAGAACACTGCTTTAGATTGTCATCACCTCCAGTATCGTCGTAGGATCGGGTATGACGTGATGACTGAACAGTCCCAACTAGAAGCCATGATGAGCAAAATGGGAGTTTGCTTTTAATGTCTCCTGTGAACTTGTAAGTGAGGCAAAACTATTTTGAAACCCTACAGGCTTTCCGTTTTGAACAGGGTCACACTGCCAGTTGCGCGTTAACAAGCCAACTGGAATGCCGTCTTGGGCTCCAGGCAGCTGCAGCAAGCGTCGGCGCACTCCTGGTGCCGAAGGGCTCTCCGCAGGGCCGACTGGGAGGGAAATTAATAGGCGTCCCATCGTTCCCGGGCATCCTCGCCGGGATATGTCATTAGTGCAAACACTGAACCCGTGGTCGTCCTGCGCAGCCACTTGACCCCGGTGATTTCCAATTCTGTGCGCCGCCCGATGCGATCCAGCAGCCGCCTGCGCGAGGCGGGCGCTAATTATCGGACGCAGAACCGCTGCCGACCCCGGACAGATGCAGTCTTTGTTCTGGGACATTAGCCCCGTCTGGTTATCTAGCTTCGGTTGAGGGATTCGGGACAGTAGCGGTGCTGCCGGTGACTTCACGGCCCTTCTCCCTGTTTGTGTTGCAGGTCACGGCCAGGGGCTTCGGGCCGCTGCTGCAGTTCGCCTACACCGCCAAGCTGCTGCTCAGCCGGGAAAACATCCGCGAGGTCATCCGCTGCGCCGAGTTCCTGCGCATGCACAACCTGGAGGACTCCTGCTTCAGCTTCCTGCAGACCCAGCTGCTGAACAGCGAGGATGGCCTGTTCGTGTGCCGCAAGGACGCGGCCTGCCCGCGCCCCCACGAAGACCAGGAGAACTCGGCGGGGGAGGAGGAGGAGGAAGAGGAGGAGGAGACGATGGAGTCGGAGACGGCCAAGATGGCCTGCCCCAGGGACCAGCCGCTCCCACACCCCGGCAGCTTCGAGCCCACGGCCGTCCCGGGAGCCCAGAAGGAAGAGGCTTTGCTGGCGCCCGAGGCCGACGGGCCCACGGACACCAAGGAGAGCTCCGAGAAGGACGCGTTGACGCAGTACCCGCGATACAAGAAATACCAGCTCGCATGTACCAAGAATGTCTACAATGCATCCTCACACAGTACCTCAGGTTTCGCAAGCACATTCGGTGAAGACAGCTCCGGCCACAGCCTCAAGCCCGGGCTCGCCGTGGGGCAGATCAAAAGCGAGCCGCCCAGTGAGGAGAACGAGGAGGAGAGCATCACGCTCTGCCTGTCCGGGGACGAGCCTGACGCCAAGGACCGAGCGGGGGACGTGGAGATGGACCGGAAGCAGCCCAGCCCCGCGCCCGCCCCTGCGCCCCCCTCGGGGGCCGCCTGCCTGGAGAGGTCCAGGACCCTGGCCTCCCCCTCCTGCCTGAGGTCTCTGTTCAGCGTAACAAAAAGTGCGGAGCTGTCTGGCCTGCCCGGCACATCTCAGCAGCACTTTGCCAGGAGTTCCGCGTGCCCGTTCGACAAGGGCATCACTCAGGGTGACCTTAAAACTGACTACGCCCCCTTCGCGGGGAATTATGGACAGGCCCACGGGGGCCAGAAGGATGCGTCCAGCCTCCCGATGGGGTCGCCCCTCAAGGGCCCTGGGGTGGAGGCTCTCTGTAAGCAGGAAGGAGAGCTGGACCGGAGAAGTGTCATCTTCTCCTCGAGCGCTTGTGACCAAGTGAGCACTTCGGTGCATTCGTATTCTGGGGTAAGCAGTCTGGACAAAGACCTCTCTGAGCCGGTGCCAAAGGGTCTGTGGGTGGGGGCTGGCCAGTCCCTCCCCAGCTCGCAGGCCTACCCCCACGGTGGGCTGATGGCCGACCACTTGCCAGGAAGGATGCGGCCCAACACTAGCTGCCCGGTGCCAATCAAGGTCTGCCCTCGCTCGCCCCCCTTGGAGACCAGGACCAGGACTTCCAGTTCGTGCTCCTCCTATTCCTACGCGGAGGACGGGAGCGGGGGCTCGCCCTGCAGCCTCCCTCTCTGTGAGTTCTCCTCCTCACCCTGTTCCCAGGGAGCCAGATTCCTTGCCACAGAACATCAGGAGCCAGGCCTGATGGGAGATGGAATGTACAACCAAGTCCGACCCCAAATTAAATGTGAGCAGTCTTACGGAACCAACTCCAGTGACGAATCCGGATCGTTCTCGGAAGCAGACAGTGAGTCGTGTCCTGTGCAGGACAGGGGCCAGGAGGTAGGGAACCCGCCTAAATTCAAGCATGTCATCCACTCTCTCAGTCCTTTATCTGGACTCTCCCTGCCCCCCTCCCCACCACTCACAGAGTGTTCTTATTTGCCAAGATTAAGGGTAAAGGGACTGCCTCCCCTGTTCATGGATGGTTCAAACTGATTCCAAATTAATCACTTTTGTCCTAGAAAGCACTTGAAATTTACCTAGATTTAATAGTCAACTAGTAGATACAAACTGCTTATTGAAAAGAAGCATGAAAGCATGCCCGGTACTTCAGACCTCCCTTGCTCCTTCCCCATCTGCTCTGAACGGATGCTGTACCCATCACCTTCGTCCTTGCTCCTCACCCCTTCAGTGTGAAGGGAAATATAGAAACACTTTCAAAACCCATTAAAACTAGATAGATCTACACTAAACAAGTGCTTTTCTAGCACCCTTTATGTTTTCCCTATCAACAGAAGACCCTGGGGCCAACCCGTGCAGATGGACAGCTCACCATCCCTTCTGGGCTCAGGGTCATTGCAGAAGCACCGTAATCAGTCACATATAACTTAATAACATACCACTCCCCGGGCTCCCCACACATGGTGAGGAGTTATTTTGGGGCGCAGTGGGGTTGATGCCCGTTTCGGTCCACCCCAAAAGCAAAGTACTTTATAGGTAACAGTTGCCAGGCTCCATCCATGTCTCACCAACGCTGGGAGAGGGAGCAGGAGCGATACCAGCCACATTGCTCAGGAGAGAAAGAACAGACACCCCGTGTGTTTCCCCTCCCCCCACCCCCTCAGAGTCCCCTGGGAAGAGATGAGGGAGTCTGTGCCACAATCTGGCCCGGCCTAACCCGGTGACCAGGAACCAGCCTGAGGCTGCCGCCTGTGTCTCAGACCTGCCTCCAGTGGGAAGTCCCTCTTCAGAGCTGCTTATTCAGAAGACAGAGGGAGACGAAGCGTGGTCCAGAGGAGGCCTGCGCTCCCTGGATCTCAGCCTCTAGGAGGGCAGGGATGCTAACCCCACCAGGCAGCAGAAATGCCGCACGGGTGAGGTGGCTTTTCACAGAGCCACATGCTGTCTCTGCACGCTTGGCGAGAAGCACCCGGGGCTTTAGTTCGGGCATGTTTTGAAAGTAGACTCCAAAGCCCTCCGTGCCAACTGCAGAAATAACCTGCGGTCACTGCCTTGTTTTGCTGGATAGCCCTCTCTTCTTTTTGCCTGGCAAAAAATGGAGACAGGTAGGCTTTAATTGAGTTAAAAGAAATTGTAAAGGCAATTTGAATGGGAACTATTTCTACTCAACTACACCGTATCCCCTCAGGTTTGGGTGGGAGCTTGTGCCAAGCCAGAGGCGCATCTGTGTCTCTAGCCTCAGAGACCAAAAGGCTTGTGAGAACAGCCAGAGGTTGTGCTCTCCCCCCTCGCTCACTCCTTTCCCTCCGATCATTTTTGTGAGGTTGTCGTCTCTTCCCCTGAAGCTTTCCATAAGCGCCCCCGATGCAGAGGCCTCGTCACTGGGTCTGGTCCGTCCACATAGTGACGTAATCTCGCCAAGGATTGGTGTCACACACAAAAACAGAAAGCCTCCAAATCTTTGTTTTTTGCCTCTCCCTCAAGAGGAGCCCTGCCGTTACACTAAAGGGGCTGTGTTTTTGTGACATTTGCACATGTTCAAGGAACTGTCCGCTTCAGATAAAGCTCTGTGGTTTCTCTGCTATCCCAAAAGAGAGCTGAAAGCCACTTCTTGGAACTAAATGCCATCAACGAGCCCATGGTTTTTCTTAGGTTTGAGCCGTCTTTCGTCTGCCTTAGAGCTTTTCACTTCTACATGAATCAGTTTAAAGGAGGATTCATTCAACCTATAAAAATAATCATGAACAGGACCAGTCTCCCCTTGAAAAATACCACTGCTTTAAAAAGTACTTTATTTTTACTTTTTTATTATTAGGGTTTTTGCATATCTAAACAGTGGAAGAAGTGACATTTACCAAAGTTCTATGCCATGTCAGAAATCACACTTGGCCCCTCTTGGTAGTACATTTAGGACAGGATTGATGCAGGAAAGCTAAGGTTTTTCCCAGTTTGACGTTTTAGTTTTCCTAGAGTAGAGGAGATTAGGTTTTCCAAGAACTGTTTCAGGGACTCATCATCACTGCTCCTCTTTGAGTTCATCACTTGCTTACAGGAGTTCCTTTGACCCCGGTGGGAGTATGGTGCCCTGTAATAACATTGAAGGCAAATCCTTTACAAAGTGACTCATAACTCATTTCCCTGCACTGATCCAGAAGAATCCAACCGTTACTGGGCTGATTCTGCCCCAGTTTGCTCTTGTGTAAGGTCCAGGTAACTTCTCTTCCAAGTAACTTCTCTCCCAAGGAGAGATCAGAGTCAAAAGCCAGAAAGAGTTCCCACCGCCAGCCAGGCACTTGTCCTGTACTGCAGGTACTCTGTGAGGAGCCAAAATGATCAGTCAAAAGAGGTGTTAGCCTACTATAAGATGTTCTAGTTCTGCCCTGTTAACTCTCTCATCTCATCAGTGTTGACCTCTCTCATCCTTTCTAATGATTCCCTAGCACTGAAGAAAGCTTAAGTTAGCACAATACTGTCCTTTATCAACAATCAGCTTTTAAAACTTCCTTTTTTTTTAATAATCAAACAGCATACCCAGTTCCTGACCCACCAAATTCTCTGTGCCTACAACAACATATCCACATCTCTAGAGGCTTGGGTTTTATTTTCATGGCATTTACAGAATAATTACTCAGTGACTTGCTTTTGCACACAGCTGTCTCCTGTGTACATGCCTCTAGGTCCATCACATGGGGCTTCTTTAACATCCATCAGTCCCATAAACCACAATTTACTCATCTATCATCTCTCAGCAGCCATTTCAGTTGTTTCCAATTTTTCCCCTCTTATAAACGCTGCAATAAATATTTTTGTGAAGATATTTAGTAGTGGTGCTTTTATTTTTATGGGTTAGAGTTCCTTAAGTGGGTTAAAGGTTATGCTCATTCATTAAGTACTGCCTAACTACTCTCCCCAAAGGCCGTAGCAATTCCCATATCCTTCAGCAGTTTCCTAAAAACCCTACCAGTAGGAGTGATCCATCCTTTTAATTTTTGCCAATGTGATGGGCAAAAATAGGATGACTGCTAATGAGGTTGACATCTTTGTCCATTTTTCTTTCGTGTTGTCTTTCAATCAGTGTACAGAATCCTTAATATAGGAATATTAACCCTTTCTGATAAATGTTTTCTATATTTTTCCAGGATTTTTTTAACTATGGTATCTTCTTCTATATAGAAAATTTTAAGTTTTATGTAGTTGTTATCCATTCTTTTCTTTATGACTTCTGGGTTTGCTATTTACATAAAAAGTCAGTTTGGAAATTTTTTTTTCTTCCAATGATGAAAAAATGAATAGGTCATAAGAAGTAACAAAAGTAACACTTTGCATAACAAAGTCTTAGTTTGACTGAAAATGGGAGGCAAAGTTGGGGAGAAGGAGTATAGGGGAAAGTTTCATTTCTATGTATTTCTATAATGTTTTAATTTTATTACATATATCTCACACAGGTTCGTTTTTTAAATTGAGATGTAATTCACATACCATCAAATCCACCCTGTTAAAGAGAACAAGTGAAGGGTTTTGAATGATTCACAAAATTCTATGACTATCACCACTCTAATTACAAGACATTTTTATCACCCCTGAAAGAAACAACATACTCATCAGCAGCCACCCCTCGGTACCCTCCCTCAACTCAGGAAACCACTGCTCTGCTTTCTGCCCCTATAGCTATGCCTACGCTGGACATTTTATGTCAATGAAATCTTACGCTTTGTGGCCTTTTGTGTCTGGCATCTTTCACTGAACATAATGTTTTCAAGGTTTATTCTTGCCATTGATATGCCCCCCATATGTCATGTATCAGTTGCTTCATTTCTTTTTTGTTGCTGGATAATATTCCACGTGCATGTACCACACTTTGGTGACCCATTCATCAGTTTGGTAACTTTTGGGTTGTTTATCCTTTTGGGCTATTGTAAATAATGCTGCTGTGAACTCTTGTGTGAAGTTTTTTGCAGATGTGTTTTCAGTTCTCGTCGTTACATATCTAGGAGGGGAATTGCTGAATCACATGATAACTCTCTTCAACCTTTCCAGGAATTATCAGAGTGTTTCCCAAGGCAACTTCCCCGTTTTACATTCCCACCTGCAGAGTATGAGGGATCCAGTTGCTCCACATCCTTGCCAACATTCGTTATTGTCCATCTTTTTTATTATAGCCATTCTAGTAGATCTGAAGTAGTATCTTGTTTTGGCTTACAGGTTCATTTTTAACATTAGAAAGTTATAGAGAAGTCACAAGTATTTTCAAAGTAGGAAGCTTCTTAGTGACACAGTTTTATACCACATCCATTTCTAATCCATTGTGAACTTTAGTCAGGAAGTACTGGAAAGACAGCTAAAAGTATTGATTAGTTGGGTTTGCTTTATTAACATGGATCATGTCAAGAGGGATCAAGTATGTGAGTGTGTGTGTATCCGTGTGTGTTTCTATAGGAGCCAGGGGCAGGGAGAAATAAGGCCCAGCACCAACACTGACAAATAATCACCTAGATGAGCTTGTCTGACTCTAACTCTCCCGCCCAAATGCTGACTTCCAGGCACATGTTACATGTAAAATGTTTACAGTTGCTTTAGTGGTTTGTTGAATCGGGCATCTTTTTTCACATGTCTGTACTTGGCCCCCCTAATGAAAAGAAAGCTTTGCTGGGGCAGCATAGACGTCAGCCGCATCTCTAACTAAAACAGTCCTTTTGTGATGTCTAGAAAGCTGTGCTTAGCATCTGGAATTTCAAAGCAGAATAAGGAACCATGTGACAAAGAAAAATAAATTATATTTATTAGAGCTAATAAATATAGTATTATTAACAGTATGTCAGATCTATAAGGCAATTCCAACTTTTTAAATATTTTTTTATTGATTTCAGAGAGGAAAGGAG